TTAGCAAATTGGTGATTTTCATAGAGAACTTTCACAGAGAGAAGCCAAATTTAACCACATATTCAGAATGTCTGAGCATTCATAAGATTTAAGTCCAGATTTATTTTGGCAATTTAATTTCCTCTTCCATGAATATAGTAGCATGCTGAAGTAATTGTTCAATAGGTGAATTAATTATTCATTAATGGAATATAATTTCAGTTTTCTATTACAATTATCAATATGTCAGCCATTATGCATTTGCCCATCATAATAACTTAATTTTAGCTCTTCTGCTTTCTATGTAAGTGACCTTGGGCAAGTCATTTTATTGCTGTAGGCCTCAATTTATCTACTTGTAAAGTGGCGAGGTGGAAAGGTCAGCCTTGACTGCCTATAAGGTCCCTTGTAGTTCCAAATCTTTGATCCTGTGAACCTTTATTCTAAAACTGCAAAGAAGGCTGAGAGGATGGATACAGAATCAAATATGTCACAAATATGTCAATATACAGTCAGGAGAAGCAGGGGGAGCTCATATCTGAAGGTCAATATTCTTTTTTAGTTATCCATCAGTCAATCAACAGACATTTATTAAATCTCTACATTATCAGGCTCTAAGCTATATGTTGGCAATGCGAATATAAAGAATGAAAGAAGACCTACTTTAAAGGAAATTAGCAATTTAGGACAACAGGTTATTAAGCATTAAAGGAATAAGGATAAAGATAAAAGAAATGTTTAAAGAAAAATTTGAGAGATCTGATGTGGTGAGTGAACCTTTAGAATCAGTGTGGGATGAGTTATAAATTTACCTTTCATTGCCTGAACTATACCCAATGAGCATGGTAACAAATTCATCATTTCCCAGTACTTCCTCTATTAGCTCTGCAGTTACAGGGGGTGAAAAGAGTGCCAGGAGTTATCCAAGAATTAAGAATAGCCGATTAGAACTATAAGTTCCCTTTTTACTGAAAAGTATTGAGAGATATGGGATCATCTAGTTATTGGAAATAGCAACTCTATAGGAGCAGCAAGGTGGCACAGTGGAAGAGCACCAGCCCTGGAATCAGGAGAACCTGAGTTCAAATTCGGCCTCAGACACATAATACTTAGTAACTGTGTGACCCTGGGCAAGTCATTTAACCCCATTGCCTAACAAAAACAAACGAAGAAATCAACTCTGTAGTACTTTATTTTGGAGCAAGTATTCATAGTGTAGCACAAATATAATAAACAAGAGAAGGAAAAAAAATCACAGCAATAATCAGGCAGTGGCAAGGCTGATATGTTAAATGGCTCAAATATTTTAGTTTTAACAAGAGCAGAGAACAGGATCCACAGTAAGGGTTATGTGAGGTGTGGCAAGTATAGGCACTGTGTAGTCTGAGCGGATACATCATAAAACAAATTTTGTAGGGAAATTCGTCGTGAATGGCAGTCGTTGAATTGAAAGGACAATGGATTTGGAGTTTGATGACCTAAGATTTAATCCTGATTCTATTTTATGAACTTGTGCAATTCACTGAATATTTTTTGGGACTCAGTTTCCTCATTTGTAAAATGAAGAGCTTTCTAGAAGAGGATCACTAAGGTCCATTCCAGATTTAAATACTGTGACCCCATGACCAATAAATCAACAAACCTCTACTAAATACCTATGTCAGGCGGATATTGAAGCTCAATGGAGATAATGAATATAAAGCATTTTGGAAACTTTAAAGTCTTACATAAATTCCAGTTGTTGTTGTTGTTATTTACAATTATCAGGTCTCCATTCAGATGATGACTTCATTTCCTGAACCTTATCCTGTACTCCTGCTGAGGTCTAGCATGTTTGTAGAACAATACAGGGGTGTGCTGGGAAATGTTTAACAACTGGCCTGGGAGTGCAGATGGGCAAAATGCATGCACACACACACACTTTAAATTTTAATCTATATGATTAACACAAGTCTAGATAATCAACAAAACAATAAAGCAAGCACTGATTGTAGTGATAGCTGATTGCTAAAGTGTACGTGCTCACAGTGAAAATGTAACAGGTTTCCCAAGTTGATTAGAGCTGGATCCACTATACCCCTAATCTGTGCTAAGGACTAATATGGACCTAAATATGGATGATATAAGTACAAAAGTCAAATGATCCCTACCTTCAACAAGCCTGCGTTACATGCATTAGAACATGAGCTCTATGATGATAAGACCAAAGTGAGGGGATTAAAAAAGTAGAATATGAATCAGGTACTAAAACTGCCTTAAAAAATGAAGTCAGTTCCAACAATTTGTATATGATAGTAGCCATGATTTATACAAGGTGTAGGTGATAGATAGTGCAAATCTCAAATAATAAGTACTCATCTAGTAACACTAGTCTGCCTCTGTAATATCTGGAAGTGTAAGTAGACTTCTCCCATAAAACTAAAGGGCATCTATAAGTTCAGGGTCTCTGGGCACAGAAAGCAATTGAAACCTGATTTGCATGAACCTTCCATTGACCATTTCCATAGCCTAGAGGCCAAGAGGATACTTTGCTCTGGCCAGGAGTGCACCATGAAGATAAAGGAAACAGCTGAAAAAGCAGAATACAACCATGATGGTGTGTTGGTGCTGATGATGGCACATTTTGCTTCTTTGAAAAACAAACAAATAAAAAAAACCAGAAAGCATCTAAATTTCATTGTTTTATTAGCTAAAGTTTACCTGTCCTCCTAAGTTTATAATTAAGAAAATATTGTATTTGGATCAACTCCCTGGCATTATCATATAACTTTGAAAAGAAATTGAAAAGTGCAAATTACATTATTGTTTTTATCAATCCCAACTCTTTCAAATGTCAATGGAAGACAACATGGGATCCTCAGTGTTATTGTGTGGGTCCCAAAGATGCTAGTGGCCATATTGGTTTCTCAATTTAGTGAACAATACCCAGATAACAACATGAAGAGATCACAATAGTGTAGTCCTTTGTTTTCTAAAAGGTTGTTCCATCTCAGGAACAGGTAATCCTTACTAGTGAAAATGAAGTGAGAAAGGGGTTTGAGGAATATTGCTATATCTAGCAGCAGATGGCAGTGTTAATCCATGGAAAAGTGCATTCAGGTTAGTTTTGTGATTGTGATGTCTTATTTTAAGTTTATACATCTGAGCTGATATGCCAGTCCAGAAAGTATAATTTAGTAGTTAAACCTACACACACACACACACACACACACACACACACACACACACACACACACTTTATATATAGTATACACGCGAATATGTATGTATATGTCTATGTATATTATCATGTGTGTAGATTACATAAGTAAAGTGCTTGACAAACTTTAAATCATTCTATAAAATGTTAGCTAGATAGGTACAAATATAAGTATGCATACATATAGATGTATATGTGAAGATAAATAGCTAGATAGACAGGCAGGTAGTTAGGTAGATAGACAGACAAACAGGCCTTTATCTCTCCCCTTCCCTAGTATAATGGTAATTTCTAACATTTACCATAGCACTTTAGAGTTATATAGGGCTCTACAAATATTATCTCATTTTATTATCATGACAGTCCTGGAAGGTAGATAATATTATGTCTGGTTTACAGATGACAAAACCGAGGCATTCAGAGGTTTAGTGACTTGTCCAGGGTCAAACAGCTATTAAGTGTCTGAAGTCAGATCTGAAATCAGGTCTGTCTGACTCCAGGCCTATAGTGTTCTATGCACTGTACATTCTAGGTGTCTCCAAGAGACAAAGCCTAAATTTGTTTGTTTTTTTTAACAAATAAGCAAAAAAAAAAAGCCAAGCATATACCTGCCCTTAAAAAAAAGAGAAAAAAATTCTTATTTATTTAGGCACAGTCGAGAAATGGACAAAACAATATTTGGTGTGCCTCACCATCCTCTACCTCTTTCTGTGAATTACCTTCTTCTCCACTACATCACTTCTGCCAAAGCAACTCTACCCCCAGGATCAAGACAAAAGTAAAAAAGTCCTATAAGCCACCAATACTTGAATATGAATTCCATTTATGTTTTTCTCCTCCCTGGAAAAGTGACACTTTAAATGAGAACCATAGAAGGCCAAATTAAAGCTGAAGTGGGGTTAGAATTTGAGGTTGTGATGCCCTCCTATGCTCTTCAAATCATTCTACTTAGACAATGGGGAGCTAGGTGGAACAGTGGATAGAGTGCTGGTCCTGGAGTCAGGAAGACCTGAGTTCAAATTTGACCTCAGACATTTACTACCTGTGAGACCCTGGGCAAATCACTTAACCATATTTGCCCATTGTAAAATGAGCTGGAGAAGCAAATGGCAAACCATTCCATTATTTTTGCCAAGAAAACCCCAAATGGGGTCCCAAAGAGTCAGACGCAGTTGAAAATGACTAAACAACGATACCTTAGACAGCAGGGCTTCAATTTGTCCACCCATCCACCTCTCCCATCCATCTAACCATCCATCCAAACAACCATGAAATACACTCCGCTTGACACCTGAATTCAAAGAAAACCATCAAATACTTCTGTATTCAAGGGCCTTATGTTCTAAGACTGTCCTGTTGCTTCATCAAAACAAGGCAAAGACATTTTGGGGTATATTTTTACTAATTTGTTTGTCCAAAATATATTTATTTTATTTTAGACAATCCAATATTGTATAGTTACCTATTCAGCATGATAATGACAATAATAATGATAACAGTAAATGTAATTAATATTTATCTTATAGTGCTTACTCTGTGCTAGGCACAGAGCTAAACATGACAATTATTATGTCCTTTGATCTGGTTTCAAATGCCAAACCTGCCACTTACTGTGTGACTTTGAGTAAGTCATTGTAAAATTGGGAGGTTAAACTAGATGAGGTCCCCTCTATCTCTACACATGTGATTTCAAGCACCTTAGTGTCCATAAGCCTAGTCATTATTCCCCTCTGCACTACTCTCTTTTATAGTTATTTCTCCAAAATTGGGAAATTTCCCAAAGCAAGCTATAACAATAATGAAATTCTTCTTCCTCTTTTAGATCCCTGGGACCTCTTCAGTGGTTCAGAGAAGATGGAAGCCTCTTTACCCTGCTACTCAGACACGGGGAGGGCCAGCACAGCAGACTAAATCCCGAATTAGCGCTGTGACTGCAGAAATCAAACAAATTAGAGCCAGGAGGAAAACAGCACGGATGTTAATGGTTGTCCTTTTGGTGTTTGCCATTTGCTATCTCCCAATTAGTATCCTCAACATGTTAAAGAGGTAAACTTGACTAGAGATTCAAACACTAAATAATATGGGGCTCCTACTTAAGAGAAATAGATGAATCAGTTTTGGTAGAAGGAGAAAGTGGGGTATAGTGGAAAGAATACTGACTAGGAAGACAGATAACCTGGGTCTAAATCCCAGGTCTGCCACTAACTTGCTGTGTGACCTTGGAAAAATCACTTCTAGCTGGGCCTGAGTTTTTTCATCTGACACATGAATGCTTTGGGATAAGTGATCTCTAGCTATAAATTCTAACTTCTGAGAATCATATTTTGGTATCTTGAGGGGTCCCCAGGTTTTTGGCAGACAGGTGGTACAGTGGATAGAGCTCCAGGCCTGAAGTCAGAAAGATTCGACCTCCTGAGCTCAAATCCAGCCCCAGATAATTATTAGCTGTGTGACTGTGGACAAGTCACTTAACCCTTTGTGGCTCAGTTCCTCATCTGTAAGATGAGCTGGAGAAGGAAATGGCAGACCCCTCCAGTATCTTTGCCATGAAAGCCACAAATGGAGTCATGAAGAGTTGGACATAGCTGAGCAACAAAAACAAGATATTTGGAAATATAAATGACATTCCTCAAACTAAAGCTTACTACTTCAAAGATTTGGGGTACAGAAAGAAGTCAAAATCTGACTTTTTGCCTCCCAAAATACAATGGTATTAATGGCCAGTGAATCAACAGGTTAACTGAATGGATTTGGGGAGCTCTTGAAATATATTCATGTCAATTCATATCCCCTTCCTGATGACAAACAAGACAGATGCTCTCAAATGCTTTCAGGTAAGTGTTAAGCCTTCAAGGAATCAAAAAGATCCTGTGAATTGCTTTAAAGATTTGAAACTCTTTGTTTTAAATCTGAATGAATGTTTTTGTTTTGTTTTGTTTTTCAAAATAAGCAGAGATCCAGTAAGGGTTGAATTTAGATGAAAGAGTTCTTAATCCCAGTTCCTTAAAACTATTTTTGTTTGTATTTGTTTTGTTTTGCTTTCCCCATGAATTTTGATAATGGTAATTAGATATAATTTATTTCCTTTGCAATACTATGTATTATATTCACTGAAATAACATTATTCTACAAAGGGGTCCATAGGCTTCACCAAACTGCAGAAAGAATCCAGACCTACACAAAGTTAAGAACCCTTCAAAGCAATAAGAGTGGAATGCTGGCTCTTTAATTACACTTAGCAGTGGATTTGAGAGTCCTAAAAGGAACTCAAATCAGGACAGTTTTAGAATGTTATATTTGTTAAAAGCAAGGAAAAGCCCACTTAGAAAAAAAGGCTAGTGAATCATTCCTAAAGTGATTATTAATAAAACTCAACAGAGGATTTTATAACCAGAGAAAACATAGCATTTGCTAGACAACGCAACTCAATAGAGACTCTGGCAAGTAGTATGATTTGCAGATGGACTTAAGTGGGCAGTGGCACCCACAAACTCTGAGTTGCAGGCAGCTGTACCTGAGTTTGGTGACCAGCCCACTTTACTAGGAATGATCCTAACTGTTGCACACAATCCCAGGCAGTTCCAATCCTGTTTACAGTATGCTCCAAGCTAAAGTGATGGTTGTTGCTCTCACTTTCCCTTGACTCACAGTCAATATCAGATTCTCCACAGCTGGGGACCCTGGAGAGAGGGAGAGAAAGAGTAAAAAGACAGCTTTGGCTGGAATCAGACCAAAGGTGGTATAACCAGCTGCAAGTTCTTTAGCTCTCCTTTGGCTTTAAATCAACTCTTGGTTTTGATTATTTAATAGTGTTTGCAGTAAAAGAGGAGGAGAAGGAAATGAATCTATGTTCAGAACTATCACGTAATAGCATAGGCAGACTTAAAAGATGTGATATGTAGGTGGTGGTACCCTAGAGGTAAAGGAGTTATATAAAACCCTAGAAGGAGGAGGGGAAAGTTCCTTAATTCACATTACCAGTTGTGATTTTGAAGCACTTTGACAAATACAAACACACACACACACACACTAAGGGACCTGTTCTCTTCTTCCTTTGTGTTGCCATCTGTCCTGGAGGCACTCCAATCCGTCTGGCTGTCTGGTCTCACCTCTGCAAATTCATTTGTGTATTGTAAGGTGGCTTGCATTTTTAAGGATTTACTCTAATTGAACTAAAATTAATTTTTACTGTTCTCTGGCTTTCTCTTCCTGCATGTTAACTCTCTAGATTTTCTGCTTCTTAACACTTGTGACTTTCGTTCATTCCAAATACCGATAATCTTCTTCCTATCCTCTTGATTTTCTGTACCTTTCATTCATTTGGCTATTCCTTCCACCTGAAATTGAAACAAATTATCCTTATCAGATTTTCCATCATCTTACTCTTTTCTATGTTTTTAATTTTTCTTTTAACTTTTTAAAGTTGTTAAACTTTAACAATTCTTCTTTTCATGTCCATTTACTTAAAAATATAATTTTCCCCACCTTTTTTTTTCCTCATACACACTTATGTGTTTTATGCCTGGAAAAAATATCTTTCTGTCTAGCCAGCCAAATTATTTTTCTTTCCAAAAGGCTTCAAATCCTACTTCTTCAGTGAAGTTCTTTCTTAATTCTCACTGCTAAAGACAATATTGCATATTGGCTAGAGCCCTGGACTTGGAGTCAGGCTGACCTGAGATCACATGTTTCCTAAGGTACTTACTAGTTATGGGATCCTGGGACAAGTCACTTATCCTCTCTGGCCTTTAATTTCCTCATCTATGGGGAACTCAATGGCCTTTAAAGGTCCTTTTTAGTTTTTTAACTAATCATATGTTTATTGATGATGACAAGACAGCAAAGATTAATACAGAAATAGTATGCTCTCAGGTAGGGGCTCTAAACCTTTTCTGTGTCATAGGTCCCTTTGCCGGTCAGGTGAAGCCTATGGACCCCTTCTCAGACCCCTTAGTGTTTTCTTGTTTGTTTATTTTTGTTTTTTTCTAAGAGGCAATGGAGGTTAAGTGACTTGCCCAGGGTCACACAGCTAGTTAGTGTCTAAGGCTGGATTTGAACTCAGGTCCTCCTGACTCCAGGGCTGGTGCTTTATCCGCTGTGCCACCTAGCTGCCCCCCCCTTAGTGTTTTTAAATGCATAAAATATATAGGATTACAAAGGAAAGAAATTCTATTCAAATAGAGTTATAGATTTGTTTTTAAAAAGTTCATGACCCCAAATTCAGAACCCCTACTCTATGGTTAATTGCAGTATCCTAAATGTATTTCATGCTCATGATTTTGTTTTACTCTACTTTTTTATGGTAGGTATGCTAGAGAATGGATATTTGAAAAGTCATACTCATTTAAAAGGAACCTAGAGTGTCAGAGGCATGGTATGGGGGAAAGAGTGCTGAATCTGGTATCAAAAAGCTTGGTTCAGATCCCAGATCTTATGCTTATTATCTGTGTAAACTTGAGTTATTCACTTAACCTCTTCAGTTCCTCAAAGGAAGAAATTGGTCTCTATAACCTCCAAGGTCCCTACTATGTTTAGACCAATAATCCCATCATGGGCCTCTACTCGCTCTTTTATAAAATGAAAGTCTTCAAATAGAAAATCTCTGAGGTTCCTCCCAACTCTAGATCTATGACACAAAGAGGTCATTCACAGCGACACACAAGTAGGGTGTGGTGATGGGTGGAGGAATGAGGATATGGAGGAAGGGCTCATCTTCAGAGTGTTAGCATTACCTGTCTACAAATATGAGTATACAATCATTAAAGGCTTGTTGATTGATTGATTGATTGATTGGCTTTTATACGTAATTGTGAACTTTAAAAAAATACATTATTTTTGAAACCTCAAGTGAAGGCTTTATTTGTTTAGGGGTAAGCTGCAAATTGGCCAGTCAGACTGCAAATATATAAAACTACCAGCCTCTCTGTACACAACATGTCCCAAACTGAGATTTTCTTTCTCTCAAAACTTGTTCTTCATTATATAAGCAGGAAACAAACCATTTCTACTAGTACAGGGGTGGGGAACCAGCGGCCTCAAGGCCACATGTTGCCTTCTAGGTCCTCAAGTGCAGCCCTTTGACTGAATCCAAATTTCACAAAACAAATCACCTTAATAAAAAGATTTGTTCTATAAAACTTGGACTCAGTCAAAAGGCATCACCCAAGGACCTAGAAGGCCGCATGTGACTTCAAGGCTGCAGGTTCCCCACCCCTGTAGCAATACTGCTTACCCAGTGTTCCACGATCAAAACCTTAGTGTTGTCTTTTATTCTTCCTTTTCCCTTACTGGTCATTTCCAGTCGATTACCAAGTACAGCCATTTCTGCCCTTCCAAAATCTCTTGCATCCACCTCTTCCTCTCAATTTTTACTGTTTTTATCCTCTTATAGGTTGTTATTACTTGGACTATTACATAGCCTTAAAACAGGTCTTCCTATAGTCAGTCAGTTAATAAACATTTATTAAGTATCTAATATGTATGTGCCAGGCATTGAAGTAGGCAACGGAGATGCAAATATATATTAAAAAAAAAAGAGTCTTTACCCTCAAGGAACTTACAATCTATTGTGGGAAGACAAGGAAAAAAAGAATACTGAAATGGAGAGTGATAGAGTGGGAAAAGGCATGATAACAGGCCAAACAAAGGAATGCAGCTGATGAGGATGGAATCTGGACCACAAAAAGGAAAAACCTTGGACTTTCCCACAGGGCCAAATCTCTGGCATTCGCTTGAGGCTATAATCCCATAAACTGGCCTTTCATTGTGGCTAAACCCCCAATCTCTCAATTCTCTGTTACCCTTAACCTAGCCTAGCCCTCCATTGTTTTACCTCCCTTATGGCTCCAGGCCTCTTCCTACCCTTAATCCTAGCTAGATTTTATTCTCCTTTGGCCACATGGTCCAGGTCCCTGACATTCTATAACTTCACAGTCCCTGCAGACTACTTGGTCACTCCTAGATCTCTCCCACAGTCTTTCTGTATATAAGACTCTTAACATCTAGCCACTGCTCAGATTCTTATAATCTAGACAAATGCTCAGATTCCTTAAGAACCTAGCCAATAGCTCACAAATGTTCTGATTCCTTAAGAGTCTGGCCAATATAGAAGATGTTCTAATAAACCTCATCTTTGGCTGAAAGAAGGCTTGAGTTGAATTCTTTTCAACAGGAGGGTTGTGATTTTGGGGTCCCAGCACCCCTAAACCTCAACACAGCCAGAGATGAAATGAAAAATTGTCTAGCTTGGGAATGCTATTCTCTTTTTTGGGATCTATCCTTCCTCCTGCTGCTAGCCTATTCTTTCTTATCCATAGATCTGGTCATATCATTATTCTGAATAAAAAGCCTGGGTTCTCTATGGCTTCCAAATAAAATTTGAACTGCTTTACTAGACATACAGAACCACTGACAATCTAGTGACCCTTCCTTTCTAGTTTCATCTCTTATACTCATACAAACCAAATTATTCTTTTTCTACCCCTGTACTATCCATTGCTTCCCACTGTTCCTTGTGGCTTCTCTCTTCTCAACTGTTGAATGTCTACCCACTTTTTCAAGCCCAATTCAAATCCCCTCTCCTCTAAGAAGCCTTCTCTGGTGCTTCTCCTTGGTAAATACATCACAAAGCAGTTTGTTTTGCGTGGCTTTCTTGTACTATTTTCAATGTATTATTTTGTATTTATATTATCTTGATAATAATAGCTATCATTTACAGAAGCTTTAAGGCTTGCAAAATGCTTTACATATGCTTTCTTGTGTGGTCCTCACAACAATACTAATAGGTAGCTGTTATAGTTATTCCCATTTTAAGAGGAGGAAACTGAGGCTGAGAGAGCTTAAAAGACTTATCCAGGGCCACACAGATAAGAAGTGTCAGTGGATGGATTTGAACTGAGTTCTTCTCAGTTCCAGGTCCAAAATATTATCCATGATACCACCTCACTGCCTCTATATCGTTTACATGACTTATCCTCCCACCAAACTATTAGCTCTGTGAAGACAGAGACCTGTCTTTTCTAATCTTCCTATTTCCCACAGTGAACAACTCAGGGCTTTGCACACAGAAAGCTGCTGATAAATGTTTGATGATTTGAATTTAATATGGAGATTCTTTCCTGTACTTAGGAACTATGATCTTCTAGGGAATTTTTGGTTTTGTCATTCTTTTGTTTTCACATGTGATTTCATCATTGTAGAGGATTAGGCATAAATGCTTCCTCCAGGAAAAGTAGGTGAATCATCTGCCACTTGTAGTCTTATTTAGATCATTGCCTGGAACACAGAGAAGATGACTTGCCCATAGTCAAACCTGTCTGCACCAGAGGAAGGACATCCTTCCTTAGTTCAAGGTGGGTGCACCATCTTAGCCACTATCGCATATTACCTCTCACATTCTAAAATTTGAGTACAAAGATAATAGAAATCTAATGGAATTTTGTCACAAGATATTTAGCAATGGGATGATTTAAGACAGGGTTAATGACATTTCTGTGTCTCATTAGGCTTTCAATGCTAGTATTTCAGAAATTATATAATCTCTACCCTTGAACTTACTCATAACAAAAATAAAATATATACTGATAGCTAACATTTCTACAGCAGCTAACATTTATGAACCAGGTACTGTGCCAAGGGCTTTACAAACATGTCACTTGATCCTCACAGCATCTACAGGTAATAGGTTCTCTTATTATCCTCATTTTGCAGATGAGGAAACTGAAACAGACAGATTAAGTGACTTCGCCAGGGTCACTCAGTCAATAAGTATGTCTGAGGATAAATTTGTACTCAGTTCTTTCAGACTGCAGGTTCTCTACTCACTATGTTCTTCCCATTTGAAAAACCTTTTCTCTATCTAATCAAAAGATTTAACTTTTTTTTTCTTTTTGCAGGGTGTTTGGGATGTTTGCCTATACAGAAGACAGAGAGGCTGTGTATGCCTGGTTTACATTCTCACACTGGCTTGTCTATGCCAACAGTGCTGCAAACCCAATTATTTATAACTTTCTCAGTGGTGAGTTTTCCATTGCTCCACCTATGAAATCCAAGTTCTCGCCAGCATGTAGCCTGCAATGAAAAGGAGGTTTTTAAGGCTGGCTCTGAAATGCCAGACCAATCCAGTCGCCACACAATGAGATCAGTTCATCCTGGCTTCCCTTATTTTGTGTTTCCTCCTTGGTGACAGAAAGTGCATTTTCTCCCAAATTGAAATGCAGTAAATCCTTTTATTTGTACTTTTTTTCCCTATGAAAGTGGCAGGAAATACCAAAAAGGACAAACTGTGGGAAATTAATCAATTTATGTGTTGTTTTAATATATTGACTCAGCATCACTAACAGCACTTCTTTAATAAGTACTATTAAATAAAATCACAACATGTTTGAAGCAAAAAGCTATAGAAGCTCACTAGTTTTATGTAAGGTGAAACTGTGTTATTTACAGAAACATATGTGGCTTTTTACTTGAAAATAAAGCATCAAGTATTTTCAGCCTCTGGCAAATAAAAACATACAGGGTTTCCCAAAACTCTTACTGCACTTTTAAGTTTAGTTTTAGCTAAATTTAGTAAAGAAGTTTGCATAAAGCACTTAGTGGTTAAATTACTCACCTTCAGTCACAAAACCAGTTTTTATAAGAGGTGAGACTTGAGCCTTGGTCTTCCTGACTTCAAGGACAGCTATAGCCATTTAATAAAAGTTTGCTGAATGAAGTAATTCAAACAAAAATTGAAATTACAATTCAAGATACAGAAAGTAGCTATACAAAGCTAAGTTTCAAACTGCAGTAAGACTTTTGGGACACCCTGTATAGCTGCCACCAAATCACTTTTAATACATTTTACTTCCTTCTCCCACACTCCCAATAAAATATTTTGTTTTATTTCTATTTCTCTTGGCTACTGGTTCTATTGGGTTATCTAGCTTGCATGACTTAAATACAATGACAAGCTCACACAAACACTTAAATCAGGGAGTAGAAATTAGGCATGGCTCAAGCAGAATAGAATTACTTTATGTAAACCTCTATTCTTTGAAATTAAAAAAAAGATTAAGTCAATAGTTTATATATGGTGTCATCTTAGCATGTTAATTTGAATTGTAATTCATTCATCAAACTTTTATTGAATACCTACAGCTTTCCTTGGAGACAGGAAGTGCTAGACTCAAGTCTTTTGTTGTTTGTGGTTCAGTTTTCAGTTGTGTCTGACCCTTTATGATCCCATTTGGGGTTTTCTTGGCAAGGATACTGGAGTGGTTTGCCATTTCCTTTTCCAGCTCAAATCTTGCCTCTGATAAACACTGGCTCTGTGACTGAAGGCGAGAAATTTAACCGCTAAGTTCTTTAGGCAAACCTTTAAGCCTATAAGTTGTAAAGAAAGTGTCAGATGAAATTGGTAAAGGGAGTTTCTACTTTTGAGAGTTCCCTGTATCAGTGAAACCACAGATCTAGTATTTATGTCCAGTTACTAATCAGTCAACCAATAAGCCAGGCCCTAAACTATAAGCAGAGATTCTAGAAAGGCAACACCATAATCTGTGACCTAAAAGATCTTGCACTCTAACAGGGGAGGCAACATGGAAAAAATAAATCATACATAGAGATATATACAGTGTCAATGGAAGATAATCTAAAGGGGGGGGAGAGTACTAGGAGTGTATGAGGGAGGGACCCAGAAAGATCTACTGAAAAAAAAGTAGGATCTTAGTTTAGTCTAAAAAAGGCAAGGAAGCCAAAAAGTAAAGGAAGGGGGGATTGTTATGAGGTTATGAGCCTTAATCATGGTATCTCCCTCCTTAAACACATACACACACACACACACACACACACACACACACACACACACACACACATATACACACACACTTTACATACATATCTTTAGCCATCACGTGGAAGATGTCAGATTTAAAGTGAATTAGAGGGATGAGAAAAAAATGCTACTGTATGTTTTGGAGGGAAAAGCTTTTCTATGCACCAAATATTTAAGTCAAAACTTGATTTTTAAAAGAAATTTTCGTGTCTGTATACGTGCTAAACCATTATTTATTTTGATAAGATTATGGATCCAAAGCTGGAAGGGACCTCTAAGGCTGATTTGCCTAAGCCTATCATTTTACAAATGAATAAACTGAGTCCCATAAAAGCTAAGTGATGTACTCAAGGTCACAAAAGCAGAAAATATCAGTTATTCATGCAGTCAATAAATATTTGTTAAACACCTACTTCATGACAGACACTGTGCTACTTTTTGGGCATGCAAAGACAGGTAAAAGACATTTCCTACCCTGAAGAAGCTCACAGTCTAATGGAGGAGCCAACATTCAAACACCTATGTACAAACAAGTTATATGTGCAAGATACACACATAAAGGTAATCAACAAAATGAAAAATGTAGAATTAAGGGTGGACTGCAAGAAAAGACTTCTCACACAAAGTGGGGATCTAGCTGGGACTTGGAGTATGACAGCGAAGTCAGGTGATAGAGATGAGGAGGGACAGCATTTCAATAATGAAGGATAGCCAATGAAAATGCCTGGAGTGAGCAGATGGAAGGCCTTGTTCAAGGGATAGCAAGAAGGTCAGTGTCCTTGAATTGCAGAGTATGTGGAAGGGGGGAAGTGTAAGAAGACTGGAAAGGCAGGGGATTTTATAGTTAATCCTGTAGGTAGTAGGGAGACACAAGTTTATTGAGTAGGGTGAGAGAAGTCAGACTTGCAGTGTAGGAAGATCACTTTAACAACTAAGCGGAGAATAGAATGGAGTGGAGAGAGCTTTGCATCAGAGAGATCAACCAATCAGCTCTTTTAATAGTCCAGGTGTGAGGTGATAAAGGCATGATGTTAGTGCAAAAGGAGAGAAAGGGGAATATATAAGTGATGTTTTTGACAGTAAAATCAATAGACCTTGGAATCAGATTTGATATGAGATTTGAAAGTCAAGGATGAACCTTAGATTGTGAGCTTGCGTAATTTACTGGGAAAATGATGGTATCCTCTATAGTGATAGGGAAGTTAGGAAGAGAGGAGGGTTTGAAGGGAAATAAAAACTCATAATCAATGAGTTAAATTTTGAATATATTGAGTTTAAGATATCTATAAGACATCCAGTTCAAGATGTACAATGGGCAATTGGAGAGGTAAGACTGGAGATCAACAGAGAAGTTAGAGGTAGATAAGAGAAGAATCAAACATGAGACTGAAACATAGGACCCCTGACTCAAGGGCTCTGTATTCTTTCTGCTATAATACCATTTCATGATATATACTACAAAACCTAGGAAAAGATAAACAATTGATTTTTTAATGGATGCCACTGACCCATTGCTTTTTTGTTTTGCTTTCATTATATCTGCACAAAGGGGGAAAAAAAAGTCTAACTAGGGTAACTTGATATATTGAAAAGAATGTTGAGCTAGCCTCTAGGAAGCAAGAGATTTAGTCCAAATCCTGCCATTATATAGTTGTATAACCTCAAACAAGTGGTCTGACACCCCAGGGCTTCAGCTTATTTGTCTATAAAATGGGAAGACCTGATTAGCTGAGCTGTAAGGTCTTTTTTGGTTCTGACATTGCATAATTGTATTATTTGTCATTGAGTAGTAGCAAAATGACTTTTTTCACATTTCAGCTTGTTGTTAAATATTATGTAGATATACAACATATTTTATTTTCTATCAAATTGGAAGACTGTACCCAAATCCATGTCTACCCATGTCTAGAAAAAAGACATCGAGAAGGAGTTAAACCCACAGTCAAGGCCACTACAGGGTGAACTTATTGCCACTGAGGGCTGTATTAGGCATAAGCCAGGGTTGATGATAACTCTTCAGTCAAATTGATAGACATTCTGTAGATTTAAGCCTAAGAGGAAAAAAAAAGCCCAAGGCATTTTTAACATTTCAGCCACTTTTATTTTGGGTTGTGTATAGAGTTTTCTCTTGTTACCTCGTAAGACTTCTTTCTCTACTTTCTCATTCATGAGATATCAATTTCCTTATGCATTAAATAAGGTCATTGAAATAAGCATCTTTAAAAATATTTCCATCAAAGGCCTTCTGGTTCTACGATATGTATGTGTGCATGAGAAAAATATATATCACACATGTGTGTGTGTGAGTGTGTGTGTGTGTGTGTGTGTGTGTGAGCGAGAGAGAGAGAGAGAGAGAGAGAGAGAGAGAGAGAGAGAGACAGACAGACAGACAGACAGACAGACAGAGAGACAGAGAGTAGAAAGTAAGGAGATGGGGTCTATATACAAAAATCTATATCATTACTTTTTAGTCACACTTCATATATCTAAATGAAAGTATATCGATTCATAAATAAAAGGACACAGATTTTTCAAGATTTTACTAAATTCAATTTCCTTTTCCTGTTTTCATCATACTAGCACAATGTTACACTTTAACCTTTATTTGGCTTGAATGAGCCACTTCTATTTATTGTATTCACGTTTTGTTGAAGCATATTTGCACATAATTCCTTTTCCTTTCTTTCTGACTGAATTGCCAGGAAAATTTCGGGAGGAATTTAAAGCAGCATTTTCTTGTTGTTGCCTTGGAGTTAACCCTCGCCAGGATGAACGACTTGCCCGGGGACGGACAAGCACAGAGAGCCGGAAATCCTTGACCACCCAATTCAGTAGTTTTGATAATGTATCGAAACTTTCAGAACACGTTGTACTGACGAGCATAAGCACACTCCCAGCAGCAAATGGAGCTGGACCACTTCACAACTGGTAGAATATTTATTCCTACAACAAGGATAGCTTAATAAAAAGTCTATGTGCATTGAAATCTGATCATCCAAAGGTAAAGCAAGAATATGGGCCCAACATAAATGTTCAGCTTTCAACTCAGAGTTAACAAAATTGTTTCCTAATTATATTGCCAAGTTACAAAAAGTTAACTTTTTAATGACAATTACTATATTTTAAAACTTTTGTTGAAAACATTAATTTCAACAACTTTGTTTGCAAGTTAAAGTTATTGCTTAGCAATATTCAGATGCAGGATAAATTGAATGAATGATTTCTACGTTTATCTATTCATTTTAAATTGTCTAATAACTTTAATCTCTTACTTCCAAAGCAAAGCTATTAAGTGATTTACTTCTGTTCAAAAAGCAGTTTACCTCTTTTAACTGCCTCAGATATACATGATGATTTAATGTTAAATTTCAAACACAAGAAATGACAGACTTCCAAAGGAATGTCTTAATAAATATTTCTATTAAAATAATATGATATCTGAGTTAAATTCCTGCCTCTTTCACATATTAGTTGGGTGAACATGATAAAGTCATGTGACCATTCAGCATCCTCTCATCCCTAGGAGACTAGAAGCTACAAATGAGAAGCCCAACAGCTTTGGTGTAGAAAGTTTCCATATTAACAGTTCCCTTCACTAGTGAAAACACAAGTTTCCCCTCGACAACTCTCCACCCCCTCCCCACCAGCAAAAAAAGAAAAGAAAAGAAAAAGAAAAAACTGGAATTCAACAGCTGATTTTCATTTTACATAAAAATTGGATTCAATTTGTTTTCATTTGCCAATTCATTTCATCATTCATTTTTATGAATGCTCTGAGTTTTATAACTTCAGCTGTTGTTTCAAGTTTCTCTTGAAATTCCTCTTAGTATCTAATCAAGAAGGGCAGTGAGATTAGAATATAGAGCTTGGAATTTAAAATAAATAATAGTTTCTCATCAGTTCTCTAGTTTTTAAAGAACACATCTGTTTAGGAAAACTTGAAAAAAATCACAGTTCTCTAATGTTGTATTTGGGAATAAGATGAAATGTTGTTTTCATAATCAATAAGAAAATGTTCTTCATGCTGCTTTTGTGGGATTAACAATGGAATATATTTTACAAGGAGAATGAGGGATAGTTGACTGAATTTTCAATTTATCATCTATTTAAAGCTTAAACTGCACTATATATGCTCACTATATATTAGTATCCGTCAATCAACAAACTTTTAAAGCACCTACTCTGTTCCAAGTACTGTTTTAGTGATTTCAGGAATATAACTATTCAAAAAAATGAAGCAATCTCTATTCATCTGGAACCTACATTTTAATTGAAGAGTTTAAAACAAATGTTTTACAAATCTTATGCTTGGTGTGATATTTAATTTGAAAGACCAAACAGAGACAAATTGTTTCATACAAGGGGTGCTTTCCTATGTAAGACATGGGATTCATAGTATTAAAGATTTTACTACTATGGACGTTTCTGATTTAATAATTTAATTAAAAAAAAAACTTGAATAAGTGGTGCTTCATTCCAAAATACAGCAGATAGTCTTCTGTTTCATGTTGAAGCCAAGTTGTTAATCTTGGACATTAAAACTGCGTTGAGTTTTTATTAATTATCAATGTATTCTAACTCACTTGCTTATTATACTTATCGTAATAAAAATTATATTACCCAATATCAACCATATGACAATGTAAACCATTTATATGTATGTATATATGTATGTATGTATGTATGTATGTATGTATGTATGCACATACATATAATATAGGCCCTCTTATTGAGAATTTGTAAATCAGTTTCTCATTTATATCCATAAGATTTTTTTTCCAATTTCTACCATATATTAAATTTTAGCAAATTGATTTGAGCTTAACATCTGCAAATGGAGTTCTCTCTCTGTTTTATCTTCTGCTAATATTTGTATACTTCAAAAAAATTAAAGTATGCTTCTTAGTACTTACAAATACAAGAAGGAGGATAAAGAATAGAGGCAGGAGCCTGAAATTCTTTTGTCCTAACTGATAATACCATTCCAATGGCTTTTCAGTGATCTATATGAAATAAAGTCTTTTACTATACAGGTATCTACAAGAAGGGCCACCACCTTCACTTCTGTCAACCTGGTTGGAATCCTGAGAAAAGACATTAAGATGTGAACCAATGTGCAATCTCAACTGTTTTCTCATTCAAATTGATAGCCATTCTTCCACAGACTGCCATATGAAAAATGCAATATGGAAAAAATTGGATCCAGAACCCCTCTGTGCCACTTTATGGTTAACTTGACAAAAGATTTCTAGAACTATCAATCCCAAATATTTCCCTATTTACATTTACTGAGAGCTTGAGTTTTGTCGAAGGAGACAGATTTTTGAAAGACTGGCAGAGAACTCACATACAAGAAAATCTGGGAATAGAACTATATACCACAGTATATAGCTCTCAACACTTGGATTAAGGAATTCTTCCAACATGACTGAATTTGGTATGATTACCATAACAGGACAAATGGTAAGAAACAGGTGTCCAGAAACTCTGCCAATCCTATGGAACAAAACGGTCAACTACTTACCTCATTACGTGCTAAAGACACAAAATGAGAAGACTTATTAAAGAAGGGAATGTGTTGTCAATGTGTTCTTACTTTATACACTGTACATCTTCTTATTCCTCCTTTGCTGTATTAAAAAAAAAGATTTAAAGGAATTTGCCATTCTATTGATAGGTGTAGGTAGGTGAATTTTGACCACTTTAGAATTCAATTGACACTCTTTGTTTCTAAGTTTCTTCCCAAAAGGGGATTTAAATATTTTAATTCATTTATTCTTGGCAAAAGATGACTTCCTGTTTCTAAGGAAAATGACTTTTAAAGTCTCCAAGGCTCAGAAGGCTTTTTGGACATTAAATTACTCTTAAAAAAATTTTTGATGAGCTAATTGTAAAGGCATCACAGGCGTATCAATTATACTTCACTCCCAATATACTTCAGTATTTAAAACTTGATATAAAAATGAAGGAAAATGTGCTTTCAAAAATGTTATTAAGGTATGCTAAAATCTTAAATGTCTGGGATAGAATGAGAATAAAAAACTTAAAGATCTTTTCAGTTTTCAGCTGGTACTATTTTCATACATATACAGTGATTAAAAAATTCATCAAATTTTTTTATGACTATACTAAAATAGTAGTGCTAGGTTCTGTTCCAATAGAAATTGACTCTTGTTATCAGTTTCTGTATTTTGGAAAACCTTCAATTCAAGATGACTGTTTTTCTACCTTTTACTTTTTGTTATTTTGCTATTCCTTACAGTTTTACTCTCAAATTATAGACTAAAATTACTGAGTTTAACAGCAGCTAGTTTTCAGATAGTGATCCACGGAATTCCAGAGGAACACAAAGAAGACATAGGGGAACATGGAAACTAGTGGGATGTAGAAGCTATGCTTAATTGGCATCTCCTATACATACATACATATATACATATATATGTGTGTGTGTGTGTGTGTGTGTGTGTGTGTGTGTGTGTGTAATTTGCCACAGAAGATTCAGGACCAAAACATGAAAAACAAAAATGGCATCATAAACGCAAATAATAGTTTTAAAACTTACTCTTACTAAAAATAAAGGGAAGGGTAGAATATCCACTATCCTTCCATGTAATTCCCCAAATATTTTCTCCTTATAAATGCTAGAGCATCAGAGCTGCTTTTCAGTTAGTCAATTAATAAACATTTATTAAGCACCTACTATGTGCCAGGAACTAAGATAAGCAGAGGATACCAAAAAGAGGCACAAATAGACTCTGTCCTCAAGGATCTCACAATAAATGGGGGAGGCAACATGGAAACACATACTTATATTTGGAAGGTACTACAATTAAAAGAGGTGGAAAAGGATTCCTTAGCTGAGACTTAAAGGAAGCCAGGAAAAGAGAGTAAGTACGTGGATATAAGGAAAGAGTGCATTCCAAGCATGTGGATAGCCAATGAAAATGCCAAGAGAGATTGAGTGCACATATGTGGGATCACAAGGAGGTTATTGTCACTGGACCCAAGAGAATGTGATGGTCATGAATGTCTTTGAATGCTGGAGGTGATGGGAAGCCATTGGAGTTTATTGACATCAATAAGACTTGTGATTTAGGAAATTTATTTTGGTGGCTGAATGGAGGAGAGATTGGAGTGGAGACACACTTGACATCTGAAGATGGCAGACCCACTAGCAGGTTACTGTACTAGTTCAGCTGTGAGGTGATACGGGCCTGCCTCAGAGTGGTAGCAGTGTCAGAGGAGAAAAAGGGACATATTTGAGAGAGGTTGCAGAGATTAAATCAACAAGCCTTAGCAACAAATTGGGTATAGGGAGTGGAAGACAGTGAGGAGTTGAGGATGCCTCAGGGATTCTAGGTTGGGAGCCTGAGGAAATGACAGTATGGTGTTGCCCTCTACAGTAACAGGAAAGTTCTATTTTGAGCTATGAATGATATATCCCTACATTTGTTGCACCCCATATGCACATTATCATGCTCTGGCACTTATTGAACAAAATTAATTTCTAAATTTTAAGTCCTTATTCCTGACCTGGACAATTTCACAAAAGGAAAGTCATCAAAACCAATGGGATTATGACTCAAAAAGCTCTTAATGGTTTTTAATACATATAATTTTAAAGCAAAAAATAGATTGAGATCTCTATAATCACATCTCCTAGTCTCCTTAGTGTAGTGTAAAAATTATTATTGTTGTTGATTATATTATAGGAACATTCATAATTAGGGTCAAATCTGAGTAACAGAGGATAGAATCAGTGCCTCAAGCAGAGTATTTAGTGATTGAGCTAGCTCTCTCTCTCTCTCTCTCTCTCTCTCTCTCTCTCTCTCTTTCTCTTGCATTTTTCTGAAAGTGACAATGTAGATGTCATAGATTTGGAGAGTTTGAGTTATTTATTCCTTTTGTAAAGGTTATTACAATGAAAAAGTAAGGATAAATACTGAAAGTCACAAATGACTAGTAATCAAATATAAAAGTCATGTAAAATGCAAACATAACATAATTAAATTAAATAAAACTAAATCTGTGACAAAGCTAAAAGACAAGGAAAATAGAATCAAGTGCTTTGTCATCCTTTAGTTTTTTTTTCTTCAGTAATTTG